AAAGTGAGGAGCCGATCAAATACGAAGTTGTGTGGGTCGTAATGTCAAAAAAAAAAGTGTGCAAAACCCTTTACACTACGTGTCCGATCTATGTGCTCTCTGGTTAGTGTTGGAATATTATTAGACCTCGAGACTTCTGATTTACTGGGATACCACACCCCCATTTTGTAAAAAACGTATTTCAAGTACTAGAGACATGCGCGTTGAAATGTACATACATTTTGACTATATGATTACGCTCTGAAAGTTTTATTAAGATTATTTCTAAAAAAAAAAAAAAAACAAAATTTTCAACAAATAAATTCTCAAAATATGGTCCACACTGCAGACCAAGCGCAGTCGCTACTTACTGCGCGGTTATCAGAATGCAGGCTTATGCGTGCTGATGCATATATCGCAAAATGATTCGAATATCAGCATGGAGGGTTCAGGGTATCTCCTAGTCAAGCAGTCTCGACTAGAGCCTTCTTACTTGTTTTATATTCATATTTACATATTAGAACATACGAATTTGTTGTGATGTGAAACATTGTAATAAGAACCATATTAATATTTTATAAAATTGTTTATGAATGATAATCTCATTGCTGTTATTGGTGGCACATTGTCAATGTCACATAAAAGAAGGTGACGATTTTCGTGAATGAGGCGCAGATGGACTTTTAAGACTGTGACGTGAACTGCTTCGTGGCTTATAGGTGCAATCCTTCCATGGTTCCGGTGCTCGTCCAAACCAATTTACTAAGTCAATCACCTCTACCTGTAATAATATATATTTTATAAAAAGTTTCATTTTTTTCAATTTTACGGTTACTTGAAGAGCTTCTGGAAGTTCCTTGAAGATATCAGATTTAGTAAGATAAGCGTGTTGCGATAAAAATGAAATGCAATTGGACTTGAGCAGAGTTGCAAAGTATCGATCCGCTATCCCAAGCAAAAAGAGCACGGAATCCTCATCTATCAAGGAATTCAGGGTACTCTCGCATATTTCCTAAAATATGAAATATATATACATATGTAGGGATATATTTAGAAGAAAATCAAATAATTTAGAACTTGGCCACACTACCTTCAAATTATCAATTGAGTATCTATCGGCCAGCAGCATTAGCTCGCATATTTGGTCTGCTCCCACAGTAAGATCTACAGGAGCACCATATATGTAGAGCAGAAGTCTTCGAAAAATTACCGGTGAAGTGTCCGTAATAACGACTTTTCTGTTTATAGATTCTTGCATTCCAGACATTAGCGCTTTTTTAAACCATTCACAGCGTGCGGACACAATAACACGATGTGCCTTAAAGCTGTGAACTTGAAGTGACATATTTTTGTCATCAATATGCGATACCATCAATGTAGCCCAAACTTTATCGCTTGATGTTGATGATGCATATGTATGAACTTCAAATTCCATATCCGCCATTTGTGCTGAGTGAAGCAAACGCAATGCATTTTTTGATAGATTACTATGGGCTGCAATTGGCGACTCACACAAATGACTTATTAAGTTAAGCTGTGTGATAGTAATTGAGTTGCTAACGTCATATGGTGTATACTAAAAATATATTTATACACATGTACCTTGAAATTTATGTAGTCGTGATATTGATTCATAGGTTTCGTTCCTTTGCTCCTCTGACGTAAATTATCCAAATTATTCTCGGGGTCAGCCAGCTTGAGTTCATGTAGTAATTCATTAGATGGCTCCAGAAGACCGAGCTCAATAATCGACATCAAAAACTCTTGTTTTCGGACTACCTTACATATTTGTTCAATAGCTTGTCGGAGCGCTGACTTATGATCCAATAACTTCACAATAACGCCATTCTATAAAAAATGGTATAATATTCATCTTGTCAAGTTAATTCTCATCCAGTCAAAGGGAAATGATCTTTTTATACAAACCATTTGAAAATGGGGTGTAATGGTTTTGTTAAAACTACATACAGTAAAATCGACGTATTATCGTATAAGTTGGCTCATAGAAGTTTATATGGGGACCAGAATTTTCGTCGCAGTAACCGTACAGACGCTATAAGCGGAGTCGTTGTAACCGAATAATATTGTGTATTTATTCTTGATCAGGGTGACCACGCTTACAGCCTTCAGTAAAATGAGCGTTAAAACGAAATGACAAAGATGCCAAAGTGTGAAGACGTCAAGTCATTCGAGTTTTTGCATGCATTTTCTACTTCGCATTACGACTTCGATTTATTCGGTTGCTTGTGGCTCGAGAAGTGAAAATTAGGTACAACAAAATCAGTGCGGTGAGAGCACTTGAACATAAATGATCACATTTTCGTATTCTATCTACCTTGCATTACTTTCATTTACTTACAATATCTATCTCTCTATGTGACCACAAACAGTTGCGTAGAAAAATTCAAATTTATTTGTGATGATCAGTGCTGTCATAATTTTTCGAGCAAATAGAGCCGGATTGGCAGAAAAAGAGGATAATTAAAAAAAATTAAGCCAAAATTAAAGCTGAGCCTAAAAACATTATTTTCTTAACTAAATTCATTTATTATTATTTCATTATTATATTGTATAATATATTCTCATCATTTAGACATTGCTAAATTTTATTATAAGCAGTTTGATGCCTTGACCTTTTAGCGAAACAATTATATGTCCCATATATGAGATATTCCAGCCCTCTGAGAAATAGTGCTTGCAGGCATGATTTACTGCTTGCTACACTGAATGGCAGAAAAAGCCATCCTCTTCATCTCAGTATAAACGCTTTGATTTAAGCCAATCATAACATAGGCATTGTCTGTGCCCATGACTATCAAATTTAATTCCTTCAACTATAAGCAAGGAATGTCCACTTTGTAGAGAAATTACACTAAGGACTGTTAAAGCCACCACTCTACGCTTAACAGAAACGTATTTACTAACGATACCTAAACAACATTAATGTAGAACTTATAAATATACATATATGCATATATATACAAATTAGAAAATATTCAAAATTTTAAGAAGAGGGTAGGTGTTTAAAAAATAATTTTTATTTATTGAGCATCTTGGTACATAGTATATCAGTTGATTCGTCCAAAATCAAGCTAAATTTGGCTCTCCCAATGTCATTTTTGAGATCCTCTTGAAAATGAGGAGCATTTTTTAACATGTATGTATATTTAGTACAGTGTGGTTTAATCCGTGAAGTGGTAATACTGTCTCAAAATTTTGTTTGATGTGTGATTTGCCACAAAGAGGCAAAGTGCTTGCTACCTCTTGCTCTATGGTTTTCGATGGAGTTGATTGATTGTATGATACAAAATCATGTGTCCATATTTGTATTCACGATTATTAGTGTTGATAAAGATAAAAATGAAAATTAAATGAAGCTAAAATAGAGTAAAATTAATTTTATTAAAGCCAGAATTCCCGCAACCCGCTGTTTTCGAATTTTTCCCGCATAGGAACTTCAAATACATAAATCTGACGGGAAAAAAGCTAAAATGACAGCTTTGCTTCCTGCTTACTAATCAACCCAGTGTCACTGCAGTGGCGGTAATGCCCATTATTTTGTCCATTACTCATGGATTACTTGTCGCCTGTGTGCATGAAAAAATCGATTACAAGCTGCCTTACCTTTTTAATTATTGAAATTATTTAATTTTGTAATGCAGAAAGTAATGAGGTGACGAAGTTTCCTTCTGCTCTCCATTACCCATGCGTATACTTTTTATACCCTGAACCCAATGAAAATGGGAAATCAGGGTATAATGGTTTTGTTAAAAGTATGTAACAGGCAGA